CTCCGTTTTCCTCTCAATTCGGTAGTATTACAGTTAGCAATTTCCTGTTCATTGGGAAAATAAATAAGCAATAGTGTTTTATTGCTACACAACACTGATCTCCATACATATCATTTTTAAACCATTCTTTGATTGTTTTACTAACCATGGGGTCAGTTAAAATGTCTCTTGGAATGAAGGAAATTCATAAATTGCAGAAATATTATATAATTGTGCTTTTAAGCTATGTGTTCTCCTTCTCTGAAAAGTGCTGAGCCCATTATGGTGGCTATTGCAATCTATATGATCTTATGAAGAAGTCATCTTTGAATCTAGTACTTGTGGCTTTTACTTCTTCTGGATAAGATTTGGAGAGGTACACCAACAAAAGCATCAAGGCAAATGACAGATAAAATATCTTAAATGGAAAAAAATCCCTTCATTCCCATTTAGTACAGTTTTATGTAGGCACTGACTTTTTCCCCCCTGACCTGGTAATGAATAAAAGTCAGACAAAAGTACAACAGTATTTGTGGGGAAATGAAAATGATAGATCTAATAATTTATGCTTCCCCAGAGGAACACTATTCCCAAATACATTAGGCACACTGAAGTCTTCAGTTACAGTTATTAAACTCAATCCTGCTCCCATTGAAATTAATAGCAAAACTTCCATTGTCTTTCTTGGGAGCAGCATCAAGCCCTTGTACAAGAAAATATAGGTATAAGGACCCTGCCACCCTTCCCCCACAACAGCCACAAACAATAGGCCATGGTCTGGATTATAAATAATTTATATTTTAGTATCACGAATTCTATAAGAACAGTAGCTGCTGAATGACAAGAGCGCTTGAAAAACCCTAATTCTTTTCTAGAAACCTGGCTTCCCCTCCAGTTGTGTATCCCTGGAATTCAACAGCACTGCCATATTCCAAACAGGATTCTGAATATCAGTGTATACATTCCTCTGCCAGTTTTATGTGATGAGTGGATTCTGAAGTTTGTCAAATATATAAGTGGACGAATATTTTTAATGGTCAATGGGAAATAGATGAATGGAAATATCCCGATGGCAGATCTTCGTTAACACATTAGGATAGAACTGAAAACTGAGTCTGTGATTCATATACAGAAGTGCTAAATGGGCTTTTTCACTTTAATGGGAACTTTATAAAATCATTGTCACAAACCATTTTCTGTTTAATTATAGTTCTTAATTCTTGTTCAGGGTTTTCAGATACTAAATTTCCTCCATGTCATTTCATGTTGGATTTTATACAGCTATCTTGCTGTACATGGTATTTTCAGACATGTAAGAGTACACAGTCCTGCCCCAAATAGAGTTGACAATCTAAACCAGGGATGTGCAACTACGGCCAGCAGGCCGGATCGGGCCCACGAGGTCATTTTAAGCCAGCCCGCAAGCCGCACCATGTGGCTCGGCCCTGCTCCGGCGCTCCAGCCAAGGCGCAGGGTCGGGGGCTGCACCACGCGGCTCCAGGAAGCCACGGCATGGCCCCGCTCCGGCTCCTACGCACTCCAGTGGCCCCCTCCAGCGCTCCAATGAGAGCTGCAGGGGCGGTGTCTGCGGATGGGGCAGTGTGCAGAGCCGCCTGACCACACCTCCGTGTAGGAGCCGGAGAAGGGACATGCCACTGCTTCCGGGAGCTGCTTGAGGTAAACGCCGCTCGGAGCCTGTACCCCTGAATCTCTCCCCACACCCCTGCCTCAGCCCTTATCCCCATCCCGCTCTCCAAACCACTTGATCTCAGCCCGGAGCACCTTCCTGCACCCCAAACCTCTTATTCCCAGAACCCACACCCCCTCCTGCACCCCAACCCCAATTTTGTGAGCATTCATGGCCTGGCATACAAGTTCTATTCCCCAATGTGGCCCTTGGGCCAAAAAGTTTACCAACCCCTGTTCTAAACTAATATGATGAGAAACAACAATAGACTATGAGAAAGAAAGGGGAGAAACAGGAAACTAGGGGGAAAGTAAAACAGCTCTTGGGAAAAGATTATTTACAAAGAATTCATCTGCTCTATTTTTGTTTAATGTTCCTGTGGGGGAGTGGATAGTTGTTTGTTAATAACTAAGCACTTAGACCCCACAGGCCTGGTTCTACTCTCATTGAAGTTAACGGCAACATTCCCCTTGGTATTAATCATATGGATTTGGCCTCTGATTCAGCAAAGCATTTAGGCATATGCTTAATTTAAGTAAGAGTATTTCCATTGAATTCAGTGGAACTACCCACAAGTATAAAGTTAAGCATGTGTGTAAATCTCTGCCAGATGAGGGCCCTAGCTTCTGCAGTGATGAGCACTATAGATAACCCATAGCTTGCTAGATTAGATTAATGTTTTAATATAGCCACTGACATAAGAGAGGAACCAGATAATACTAGAGCTGAGATTAACAACCCACAGAATGTAAGATGGGGGAGGTAGAGGAAATGACAGCTGATGTAGGCCGGGGCAGAACTACGTTGAGCTTTGAAGGTGAATTCAAGGTCTTTGAGCCTGATGTGTAAAGTGACATGGTCAGAATAGCGGGCTAAGATGATGATTTTAGTTTTGTGTAGATTGAAGAAGAGAGGCCAAAAAGGAGGAAGTTGCTATAGTCAAGATAATTGAGCCATGAACCAGAGTGGTAGCAGTGGATATTGAAGGAAGGGGCTTGACAGTCTTTAGCACCATTATGACACCATTACTTTCCCAGTGGCCACAGGTTCTAGAGGCTCAAATAAGGATGCTGTAATACAAAGGACAAATAGATATGACTGAGAAAATGACTGTCTGTGCTTATGCCTACTTATCTTCCTAGATAATCTATTTGGAGAAAAATAAAGGCAACGCCAGAAGAACATTTTCTGTTCAATATAAAATTTAAGTTGGTTTCCATTCTGAAGAATAGTCAAAGCTATAAACAATCACAATGAAACCAGCTGTTGAATGGCTACATTGCATATTTCACAGAGTTGATTGGAAAATCCCAGAGCCTCTTTCTGGACACCTGTTGAGAAGAGTAATTTTAGCCTGCGTGCCCATTTTGAAATGGAAAGAGAAGGCAGAAGAATGTATAATCATGATTTTTCTTTGGATGGAAGTTGTCAGCAAACTATTTGGAAGTCCCTTCATTTGACCAAGTTTTGGGGTTAATAAGACTAGCTCCTCCCTCTCCCCCCCCAAAAAAAAAGATTTATGGAGGAAAATTAAAATTACAATATAAAATGACATTAAATTAGTGGCATTTTCTCCCCAAGACTGCAGTTATCCATAAAATGAGAAGTGAATCTGCTGTTTCTTCTTAGCACTTTTAATGAATTATTTACTACTGTATTCAGGAAGAAAAGGACAAGATTTATTCTACTCTAATATCAATGAATATTAGAAAACAAAATTTAAACAATGAATATTTTCCACCCTACAGTTTTCTCTAGAAAAAAAAAATAACTTGCTCAAGACATATCTATGCTCTCACGAAATCTCAGAGTTTCCACTGCAAGCTTGAAAGAGGTCACAATAAAGCTGAAATAATTAGCATTAACAACTTACGGGGTCACTAATTACCACTACATGCAAAAGAGTTTATTTCTAAACAAGCAATGTGCCCCTTTTAAGGAAATAATCTAGTAAAAATGTAAAACATGTCTTTTCAGAATTCTTTCCTGGCCCCAGCACTTCATCTTTTCCACTGTTTCACTGGCAGTTATATCCCTTGGCACTGCCAAGTCAGAACTGGTTTAGTGTATTGTCAGTTTTATCCAATTTGTAAACATTTCACAGCTGAACTATGGTACTGACGTAATTTATCTAGTATGCCGGGATGCATCTAAAATCCATTTTGATAAAGTAAGAAACTCTAAACTTCCTGCAAGTGTCTCAGAGTCAATACCTTGTGTGTCAAACAAGGTAGAGGACCCAGTCAACTCATTTCTACTGAGAGAATCCCAGACTACAATCTCTTGTCCATGCTAAAGGGATTTTTATTACTCCCCTAGTAATCTTTGCCTTCAGACCTTAATTGGTATGGTTAGTGGAATAGCTTTTGTAATGAGCACATATTCCTTATCCATAAATGATAACGTTCCCCTCTGTATAAAGAAAGCAGCTTTAGAAGGATCTGGGTTAGTTTTTATTTGACCAAGCTGCTTTTCTCAGTTTTGACATAGACTAATCACTCTAAACAATTCCTGCTTAAATTACTTGGCAGTTCATGAAGCTAAAGGATACATGTTTTGAACAGATTTCTCTTGAGCTGTTAGGGAAAAAGGTTTAAGTACTGACTGTCTTCTCCATTATTTATTTTGTAAAAGAAACAATCAGTTAGTGGCATGCAAAAAATTACACAGTTTAAGAACACTCAGGTACTAAAGTTATAAGGACTTTTTAAGAAGGCTCTGATCTGCAATTATCCAAGCAGCAATTTAATATCATATATATCAGAGTAGAAGCAGAAGCACTTAGAGCTGTTGTCACAAGGGCAGAACAAAATGTGCCAGGTGACACTAGTGTGCTTAGAGTTATGGAAAAAAAACAGAAAAGTAGAAAGCAGTAGGTCACAAGAACATACATAATCAGCCACTGTATGGCTATTTCCTCTGGCTTAGTACACAGGCTGTTTTTATAGCGGTTAAATTTCTGGCTGCTAAGGGACAATAACCACTTTATTATTAAATCTTGGTATGTCTTCTGACAGTATGAGTTTACAAAAACAAATTTTGAAAGTCTCAATCCATATTCCTTTTTCATGTGATTACTAGCTATTGTCACTAGTCTTGTTTCAACCAAGTTTCAAAAAATGGTCTGAACAACAGTTTGATTCTCTGTTAAAACAGCAAAAAAAAAAAAAAAAAAGAACAAGCTTAACTTCTTATTTTAGCTTTGCTTGACTGAATTTTTCAAAATCAGTAGAAGATTGATCACAGAAGGAAAAAAGACAAGCAGCTTTCACATGAAAATATATAAATCACATCTTACAAAGATAATGAATTGGAGTAGTTAGTTCATTCTTACCTGACAGCAGTAGGAACCTAGGAATGTATTCTGCAATGTCAGTTTGTTCTTGGTAGATCACAGCAGCTTGCTCCACACTACCCAGGCAGATTTAAGACTTGGAAAAGTGTCCAGTGCAGAAGCACCCACAGAGATAAGCCTTTTCCACTCTTCTAGGTCTTCCAGCAGTTGAAGTAGTGCAGAAAATAGGGTAGAGAACAGAAGAGGAACGTAGTTTCTCCTCACGGAAATCCCAGTCAGGAGAAATAGGAGGTATGCTCTGTCTGTCTCACACCCAGACTTTTGTTTAAAAAATTTTTCAACTGTTGCTAGGTGGTGTTAGGCTTTGGCAGTTTAGTTCTCAGATTGTATTTCCCCTCTTCTGCTCTCTTCACACACTGTTACAGCAATGACTTTGTTGAGCTCAGCTCCACTTGTTCTATATTTAACCAATGTTCTCAGCAAGTCAAGCCTGTCAACAGCTGAGAAGTTTGAAGCAGGCTTTATTGAGTTCCTCAGCTGCTGAGTTATCAGTGGATGTAGAACTGCATTGCCTGACTACTACATTAATGAAAAATTGTGGTGAAACTGTCAAATCTTTTTAATGCCTTCCAGTGACTTCACTGGAGTAATTGCTGTTTTAAGCAATACATAGAAGTTCTGTATATGGGAATATATTTTAGAATGTTAGAAAGATACTTGTGTTGATACTCATATTAACATCAAATCAACTTACACAGTAAGGAGTTTAATAAAACCTAGGATGTTTGTAATTTGAAAGGTATTCCCAGCCCTTGCAAAAAATAAATAAATCACACATTGGGAAAACATTTAAAAATATGTTTATTCTGAGTAAATGAGTAAACCATTTTCTGTTTGTACAGTTCAAATGCATCAAGCTGGCATGGAGATATAATGAAAGGCTTAGCTAGAAAGTGTTCAGAGTAACTTTTATTATGAATAAGACAGTTTCAACTGTCTTCTTCCACTTGGACATTGCTGTTGTGATCCATCCCTTCATTACCTCCACATTTGAGTATGTCAGCTCTCACTAGGGATGAAGGTGAAAGCCAGAAAAACTCCAATTTGTGCAACACACAACAGGCAAGAAAGAATCAGGAACACATCACACTAGTGCTCTGCCCACTACACTGTCTCCTCATTTGCTTCTGGATCTAAATCATTGTCCTAGTTCTTAAAGTCCCTTAACAGCTTGAAGCCTGACAACTTTAGAGACTGCCTCTCTATCTACAAACCATTGAGACAACTATACTGTCCAGGGAAGGGAAACTGCAGTTGACCGAGTCCAGAGCATGGACTTGCCAGTGCTGGCGTGACATTCTCTGCAAATGGCCCCTGGCAGTAAAACGTTTCACCACAGGAGTTCAGTCTGAGCCCAGCCTGTTTTTAGAACACAGTTGAAAAATTCATCTCTTCCCAAAAGCCTTTCCCCAGTAACCTTCCCTGGCATCTTTCCTTGTGGTCTGAGAATGGGGAGAGAAGGAACAAACAATAGAGTGGAGAATAAAGGAGAAAGACACACTGGGGAAAATACTGATTCATTTGTTATTAATTTGTTTACCTCCTACGTGCTAATCACTTTCCAGACAAGCTAGGCAAAAGAAAGGAATAGTTCCAACTCATAATCCAAGGAGTCAGACAGACAAGTAGACAAGGCTGAAGGGGGACATGAGAACAGCCATTAAGTACAGTATGTAAAAGATTGTTATAAAAAGGAGGGTGATCAATTGTTCTTCTTAACCACTGAGGACAGGACAAAAAAAATGGGCTTAAATTGTAGCAAGGGAAATTGAGGTTAAACATTAGGAAAAACTTAACTCTACAGGTAGTTAAACACTGGAACAAATTACCTAGGGAGCTTGTTGAATGCCCATCATTGGAAGTTTTTAAGATCAGGTTAGACAAACACCTGTCTGGGATGGGCTAGTTAATGCTTGGATCATCTGATCCACTCCTCTGCACCAAAGCAGAACTATCAAGGTCCCTTCCAGTCCTGCAATTCTGTGATTCTATGATGATTACCCTTAGCTTGTGTTCTTGGTGCTTAGACCTCGTATTGATGGATTATAAATACTCTCTATGCTTAATGTGTCAAGCCAACTTTATTTTGGTGACCTAGTAAGAGCTAATACTTTCTCATTGTATATTTAATATTTGGCTTGGGTAGAGGAATAATAAGACTAGAATATAGTTAAGAATTTTTATAAGCACAGGGATCACTGGTTGGTGGAATTAATCTAAGTATTAGAAGACATTGAAGTTAGGAGATTTGGGTCCTATTCAAAGCCCAGTGTCATGTACTCACTCTTTGAACTTTGACAAGTCAATACAGCAACATTTTAAAAGAAGCCTCAAATTTTGAGTGCCTCAGAGTTAAAATTGAGTTACCTAAAATCACCGGCCACTTTTTTTGAAGATTTTGGCCTTAACTTCCCTGTTAATGGGTATGCTACTGCCAATATTGCACTAACTACAATAAAGTTCAAGCAAACAATACACTAACATTGAATTCTTAAGAAAATTCAGCTTTAATCACCCCTTCTGCTTTAGGAGGTGCTACAATATGGGAGACCAATACAATCACCCAGGCCAGTGGTTTGCAACCTGTGATGAAAATCTTCTGATGAAATAAATCTGCTCAGCCTTATGCAACTGCAACCTTAGCTGCCAGAAATGCACCATAAAGTAGTGTAGGAAGCCCTACAGGAATTCATGCCTCATTTGTAGTACTGCGGAAATTTGAACAAAGGAGTCTGAAGCAAACATGAAGATAGGTTGCAATGGTATGGTATAGGTTCACAATATGAAACAAAGAAAAGCTGAGAACCTCCTACCTAAGTATTCTGGGATATAAAGGAAGTATTTGTTTGCATTTGTGGAATTATCAGACCCGCAACCACATGAAAAGTTTGAACATATGGAAGCTGTTTTGTGTTTATTTCCAATTATTTATTTTATGGGGGAAAATGTTTATAAATGGATAGAGAGAACAGCAGCAAAACAAGCTACCAAAGGTAATAGTGGAAGAGACCTCTTGGCTGATCTACTAGCCCCACACCAACTGGAGGTAATAATATCCCCTAAACCAGCAACACCGCCACTTTCTAAGATTCCTGTTTTCCATAGAAGAAAGCTAGCAGAAAGGGATAAGCACTGCTGCTACAAAGCTTGCAATGGCAGTTAAAGATATGGCAGTTATTGCAATAGCAACACTAGAGGCAGGGGCCTATGCTGCATCAACAACAAAACTTGCTGCACCATTATCTTTTCCACCCACTGACCATGCCTTTTATTCATATCTAATTTGTTGGGAGTCCACGATCAGCTCACTGCCTACTACTTAGCAGCACCCATTAAGGTAACTATGGGCCAGATTCTACCACTTATACTCATGTTAAGAAGTACTTTGCTTTGAGAGTATCTTGATTGATTTTGATGGGACTATTTGTGAAGTTGTGTACTACTCAATGTGAAGAAAGGGTGGCAAAATGTGGCCCTACAGAAATCAAGAAAATCATCATAATCAATCACTGTCTTTGAATGTAATGTTAGCTGCAGACATATAGGGGTCATCATCATCAAACATGCATAGTCTACTAAGGACCGTTGTGCCAGCCAGAGGGACCGTGGTTGATAGTTTCTCACCAGGCCTTGTATAGTGAAGTTCCTACATCTGGCTCAATCTTGAGACTCCATGAATCTCGGGGTGGCCATACAAGTGGTACCAGGTAGGGTCAGGGTATGCACCCCTTCATGTTTTAAGGTTAGAGTGTGAAAACATGGTGTGCTGGCATCTTTTTGTCCATCCTGGTGATGTGGCCAAAGAGCATGGAATGCTGCTTTCAAATAAAATGAGCAACTGAAGGAAGGCCAGATCTTTCGGAGATTGAGACATTTGCACAAAGTCAAACCACTTTATGCTCAGGATTTAGCACTGATACTGCATATGAAATACCTCTAGATATAGAGAGATGACTTGCACAAATTTTGCACGTCACCTTCTTTTGCGATTTCTGCCATGATCTTTGGACATTTGATATTGCCTATGATGATTATCTGTAGAATGGAGGTTTGTAGGCCTTCTCAGAAACCTAAAAATCTCACTAAAAATTAAAAAGCCTGAAGTGACTGTGGGTTATCGCACTGTTTAGTGGCAAAAAGCATTAATGGCCTCACCTTATCTTTCACTATCCTAGTTATTACATATCACCAATGCAATGCTATACTTTCACACAGCTATTAAAACAAAGGGTCAAACCCATAAAGAAATGGCAATAGGGTTGCAAAAGCACAAGCTGAGGGCAAAATGATGTGTCCAGTTCTGGTATCCATGCTTCAAAAAGGATGTTGAAAAATTGGAAAGGGTTCAATAAAGAGCTACAAGAATGACTTGAGGTCTAGAAACATTCCTTATAGTAAAAGACTTTCTCGGAAATTGAGCTTTATAAGAGGTTGGTCCCAGTCTACAAATACCTACATGGGGAAGATATTTCTGATAATATAGGGCTCTTTAATCTAGCAGACAGCCATAATTGATGCAATATTTGGAAGCTGAAACTAGACAAATTCAGACTAGAAATAAGATACACATTTTTAATAGTGAAAGTAATTAACTATTGGAACAACTTACTTAGGAACATAGTGGAATCTCACCACTTGAAGTCTTTAAGTCAAGACTGAATGTCTTTCTGAAACATATGCTCAGTGCTTCTCAACTGGTGGGTTTAGACTCCCAACAGGCCCATGAAAGGCAAATGGGGTGACTGTAAAGTGTTGATAATTTCATTACAATCTAATGCAAAAAAAATCTCACTTCCTCACTTCCCACTCACTCGGATCCTTCATGGTTAAGTATTATTTATCATCCACTTGATACAAACACACATAATATATGTGTATCAATATTAACATTGATAAATTATTTAACTCTTACTTTAACAGTAAATGTAAAGGGATCATGATTTTTTTTTTCCAAAGAGGGGGTTATCAACCTGAAAAGACTGAAAAACACTGCTATAGCTCAAACAGAAGATATGGGGTTGATGCAGAAATTAGTGGGTGAAGTCCTACGGCTTGTTTTAAGCAGGAGGTCAGGCTAGATAGTAGTAATGGTCTTTTATGGCCTTAAAATATCTCTGAATCTATGTAATGTTCTTTTAGAAGGCAGAATATAGAACAGGAATTTTATCATCATCTTATCTGCCCATCACTGTGGTATCTGAGCAATACTTATTTCCTGAAGCAATGAGGATGCCTAGCATGTAGTCTTTATTCCTTGTTGCTGTTTAAATATTTGGCTCTTTTGCCTAAGAAATATGTATAGCTTTATTTCCCTGTGTCTTGCGGGAATCCCATTAATGACACTATGGTATTAGTAAACATTTAGTGTAGTGCTTTTGATTTACAGAAGGGTGA